AAAGTTAAAGTTAAAGTTTTCTATTTATTTCTATAAAATATGTCAAATAAATAAGCATATAAATCCAAGATATATACAGTAATAAATAACTTTACTGAAATTATCGTAAACTACGTTAAAAACGTTTAAGAATAAAAAATATTTAAGAATAAAAAAAAATTCTAAAAAATTATGAAATTATCAATTATTTTATTTTTAATTAGAACATTGCTAATCATTAGATTATAATTTTCTATATGTTATTTTAATTATCATTTTATTACGATATACATTACATATTATATATTTGTTCCAGTAATTGTATATTTGTTTCAGTAATTGTATATTTGTTCCAGTAATTGTATACCCTAATGCTGATAAAAACAAATCAACTATTTTAATCACTAAAAGAAAAACCGGGGTATACTTATAACTCATAAGGAATCAAGTAAAAAATATATAAGTTTTACAATAGATTTATCTAAATGATTAAAAGATTATTTTAATATTAATTGTTTAAAATGTACTAAATTTATGTATATCTATAAGGCTTTTCTTCATCATGGTTATTCTGCATTTTCTTTATCAATTCTTGAATATTTAGATGTCCCACATATACAAAGAAGAAGCACGTAAATTGATTTTTGAACGGGAACAACATTATTTTAATAATTTAGAGCCTAAGTATAATATTCAAAAAATTGCAGGTAATTCTTTAGGACAAAAACGCTCAGAAAAAACTAAAACTTTAATTAGTGTAGTTAAATCTGGTAAATCCCATTCTATAGATACTAGAACAAAGATTAGTAAAGCCCTTAAAGGTAAAACTCATTCTATTGATTCTAAAATTAAAATGAGTATTGCTAAAGGTACTACTATTTATGTTTATATCGCAAATAAGTATAAACTCGAAAGTAAATTTACTTCCGCTTTTTTTATATAAATAAAAAAATAATTTTTTTTTTTAAAAAAATAGAAAAGCCGCTATATTTTTTAATGTGAATAAAGGAACAATTTTATCTTACTGTAAAAATGGAAAATTACTTAAAGATAAATGGATCTTATGTACATCCCCAATTAATGATTCTGACTAGCTTACAGAAGACTAAGAATAATAGTAGGGGGGCTAATATACTATTAATTCTATTCACTTTTTATTTTAATTTTATGTATAATTAAACCTTAATTGTACACCCCCCTCTTTTTTTAAATAAAGTTATAAAGCAATAAAAGAATTATATAATAATAAGATAATAAATTAATAAGTTAAGCATAGTCAGGCAAATAATTAAAGTTAAAGTCCTTTAATCTTATTTAATAAATAAATTTATAAGGCTTTATGGTCAAATTCGGTTAAGACACAACTCCTTCACAGTTGGATTACCGGTTCAAGTCCGGTTAAAGTCATAATTATTCAGATAACTCCTTCACAGTTGAATTACCGGTTCAAGTGCGGTTGAAGTCAAAATTATTCAGATAAAACAATTATGAAATATACTTTAAATACCCAATTATTTAAAAAGTAAGAAATTTTAACTACACAAATACTATATAGCCCACTTACTTATTTTTAATTTTAACTTCAGATAGCAAAATATTTAATTAAATAAGGATATAAATATATATTTTTGTTTCTAAATGACTAAGCAATTTTATACACAAAAAATAGCATAGATTAGTTATAATATTATTTTTGTTGTTTAACAAAAAATATATATGAACACTTTCTCGTTGACCCAAGTCATACTAATAAAAGTTATAAATTTTTTTAATAATTTTTCGCCTGAGCGCCTGGGGGCTCGATCCCCTGGAGCGCAGGCGCCCCGGGGACTGAGTTTAATAAATGTCCTACAAGATATAATAAAAATTTATTCTTATACTCAGGAAACTAAAGCTTTAATTAATGAAACTAATAAAGGAATAGTAAAAACATAGAATCATAAAATAAAAATTAGTGAAAGTAAAAAAAGTTCAATACATAAAAATCTTACAAAATTAAAGATCAGTATTTATAAAAAATATTAAACTTAATGATAAAACTAAAGTTAAAATAAGTATCGCTAAAAGTACTACAATTTATACATATAACTCTGAGGATATAATATTAATAAATACCTTTACCTCTGCAAATAAAGCAGGAGAATTTTTTAATTTGTTATAATATTATTTTTTCTTATACTAAGAATAGTAATTATTTATAAACAAATAGATCTTATTAATATTTACTAATAAGGAATAATTATGGTAGAGGTTAAATATACTATAATTTATATTAATATCTTCGTTAATATCTTTTAATATAATTTTAAATGTTACTATTGTGATTGACTTATCTATAATCTAAAATAAACACTCCCTAGGATTATAATAATGATCATTTTATGCATTCAATCTTATTAAATGAATTTAGATTAAAGTAATAAAACTTAGATTGTTCAAGTCTTATTGTTAAAGGCTATAAATTAAAGGGAATGTCACTTAATTGGATAAAGTGGTAAGCTTTTAACTTATTTATCAGAGTTCGAGTCTCTGCGTTCTCATTATATATTTATAAAATAAATCTTACTATAAAAAGATTAATTCCGGATATTAATAAACAATTTACTAAAATGAATCTTTATTAAA